GTGTGGTCAAATATGCAGGGATTTACGGTGGTGCCTCGGTTCTCAAACACTTTTGTGGACAGTTTGGTTGGTAGACAGAACCGCTCAGCAAAATTGTGGTTCCATTCTCCAACTCTGCTTCAGGTGACAAACAGCACTGTGTCCATCTTTTCCAGAACCATGGAATGAATTCAGTCATGAGCCAGGTACCACTGCCTGTCTGTACCCGGAGTCTGTTTGAATGCCAGTAGTATAAATTTATAGTTCTCCCCTTTTGGACAGTGGTGTCTATAATATGTAAGCCTTTGAAATGGACGCCCAGCTAAATTTAATACCTGCTTCTGCACTCTCCTCCAGAACTGAGCAAGTGTGTGGTACTGCAGTGTCTGTCACCGCCCTCTGCCCAAGCACTCCTCCTCATGTGTCTGGTTCCTTGTCATCTTTCGGTCCCTCACTGTCACCTCTCCGTCCCTTTTGTCTATGTGGGCTAAAGTCCAGCACCTTCTCTCCCCCTGCTCTGTCCCAGTATCTGGCTTTATTTACTATAAAGTGTAAGGATGTTATTTCGGTGACTTGCGCATTGTCTTTTTTCACTAGAAAATAAGTTTCTCCCAGAACTTCTCTCAGCTGCTTACAAACTTACAAGTTTGTTTTCTGCTTGCGATGGTCTGATTTGTTTCCGTTGCTTGCAGACAGGAAACCTGACTGACACAGAAGCAGGATCCAGGAGTGGTTGTATGAGACAGGCACAGGGGAAATGGGCTGTGATTTGACTCACAAGGTGGTTTTATTGTTGTTTGTTTCTTAATGCATGAGCAGTCTCAATTAACCAACACTTACGAAGTGCATACAGTGTACTGATCTAAGCCTCTGTACCTCAATTGCTTCGTCTAATCCTCAGAATGGAAGTGCCGAGATAGGCTTTATTATTAACGCTGTCGTACAGATCAGGAAAGGGCCGCATACAAGCTAAAGATGCCCAAGGCTGCATAGCTAGTTGGGCTTACAGGCAGGAGGGATTCTGCCCGTGCTTGGGAACTGCGGGCTGGTGACCCTTGGGCAGCAGTGCTGGAGAGCTACTGGACTTGCCTGTGACATTGGTGCTGCGGCTTGGTGCAGGCCGCGGGCAGGCGCCCATGCAGAGAGCACCCAGGAGGCCGCGCTGCTGAGGAGAGTGATCGGCCGGGAAGAACGACAGGATTTAAATCTGTTATTCTCAGCTAGAGGTGGAAACTAAACTCAAAAGAGAGGCTGTAATTAAGCCAACATAATTGCTTGCATCTGACAGCCTTCCTGCTGCAGGTGTTCTAAATTATATTCACTGTGGAATCTAGCGCAAGCTGAATGTGAGCTCTGCCAGGTTCCCCGTCTGAGGGGTAAGCTGTGGGTCAGGAAGGCGTGAGCCCCGCTCTCCCAGGTGCTCCTCGGCCTCTTTCACGAGGGCTCTTCAAGGATGCTGTGCAACCTTAAGTAAAGATACAATTTTTTTGACATTTTTCTTTTGATGAATGTCTTACAATCTGAACTATAGAGTTTAAAATACTATGTATGGCAGTGGGTACTGGGGAAACCCAGGGCCTTTGTGCTACAGCCCCATCCCTCTCCCAGCTATTTTTTTTATCTTGAGACAGGATCTTACTAAGTCATTAAGTTGCCCAGGCTAGATTTGAACTTGTGATCCTCCAGCCTCAGCCTCCCAGAGTGCTAGGATTACAGTTGTATTGCCTGTGTCTCTTGGGAATTTGCTCCTGGCATTTTTCTCTGGCTTCCTTCATTCTCTGGGTCAGAAGCTTAGCATGTTCTGCAGCCTCTTCCTTGTTAGTATGCTACTTCTTCAGAGCAGTACAGCATTTGTGTGGAAGGACACACAAGTAGCAAGACCCTGCATCTTGGGTGCGTTGGTCTTGCATTTCTTGCCTTCCTTGTTAAAGGGCTTTCTGACAACAAAACACCCTCTTCTTTGGAGAGACAGAAGTTTTCAGGTTCTAGCAAAGGAATATCCCTTTCTCCTCTCCTTTTTCCTTTTTACTGTAACCAAATTGAGAATGTTCAGATTGGCGTCCACAATGCAATCCCGAACAGATTCGTGCTTTCTCTCCCCAGTTCTCCTGGCCCGTAACGGGGGTGCTCCTCGCTCAGTCGCAGGCACCCTGGGCTGTGAGTCAAGGACCCTGCCGCTGCGCCGCAGGGAAGCCTTGTCTGTAGTGCCTGTCACTCATTCGGACCACATAACCCTTCTGGTCTTCACGCAGAGTGTCAGCAGCAGCTTCTGTGGTCATAGACTTCTGGTAGAAAGTATGATGTTCACGTTCATCCACTTCAGTGAGTTTCCAACAGCCCGTGGCTAGGAATGAGACGTTCCGCTTCCCCTTGAAGCTACTGATTGCCCTCCAGGCACCATGAAAGAGAAGCCCAACTTCCACTCAGCCCAGGTCACATGGTGCTTTTTGGTCACGGCTTGATTTGAAGAGAGCAGGTGGGAACACAGCAGGCCTCTTGAACACTTGCATAGGGCTCTCATGCTGTTACTTTCAGCTCATCCTTTTTTGTTGTTGTTGTTTTTTTGACACAAGGTCTCACTGTGCAGTTCAGGCTGGCCTTGAGCTCACTTTGTAGCCCAGGCTGGTCTTGAACTTGTAACAATCCTCCTGCCTCGGCCTCCTGAGTGCTGGGGTTACAGATGTGCGCCACCATGCCTGGCAACACTTTCAGCTCATTCTGCTGGCCAGAGAAAATCACGTGACAGCCTGAAGAGTGGGCCCACCCTGAGGGCAAAGGCATGGGAAAGCGCTGTGGCGAAGGGTGCAGGTTTGGAGCTACAGGGCAGCCTGCCACGTTTGGTTTGAGGTCAGAGAACAGTGGGCAGCTAGCATCAGAAGCTGGGTAGTTCTCTAACTCATCCTGCTCCTGCACACATCCCAGACTCCTTCCCCAAGGAAGCAAGGGCTCCTTCCACACGGCGCCAGGAGTCGCCAGACTCCATCCATTTAGCTCATTGGCACTGAGTACCCTTTTTGTGCATAGCATTTTATTGGGTTATGGGGCTTTTAGGAGCTTTAGATCTACAGCACAGCTGACCATGGACAAATATTTAGAAGATGGTGTGATGGTTCTAATAGTAAAAGTGCTTACGGGATATTAAGGTTGCGGTAGCAGAAAGGAGCAATCGATTGTGCTTCGTGAGAAGACATAGAAACCTTTGTGAGGGAGGAGAGAGTCCTATTAAATCCCGAAGGGTGGGCAAGTCAGCATCTCTGCAGAAAAGATTCGAAGTCCTATTTGTGGGAAATACTATAGCCACAGCGAGTGCAATTAGACGTCTCGTTTGTGCCCAGAGATATCTGAGCCCTGAGTAACTTTGCACTTTCTTCCTTCCGTTATCCATTGCAATTGTTCTCAGACTTTGGAATGCTCCAGCCTCACCTGGCGGCTTGGGAAGCACACTGTACCCTTCCCCAGGGCTTCTCCTAATTGGTCTGCAGCAGACCGGACTGAGAGCTCCTCTTGCTGACGAGTTCCCGGCTGACACTGGTGATGCAGGTCCAGAGATAATGCGCTGAGAACTATTGATCTGTTCCTCTTCCCTGTGTACTGCACACAGAGTGTGCGGAGCGTATAAAGAGAAGTGTTCCCGCCCCCACATTGCTATGGTAGAACGCAGGGCCAGGCAAGTAAACGTGTGCTGCTGGGACGTGGAAAGGGGCCACGCTACCTGGAGCAGGACTGGCTCCGAGAACGGGCAGCCACCCCAGAAAACCCTCCATCCTGAGCTGAATTAAAACCAAAAATTTATCGTAAAGAATTAGAAAGTAGCAACAAATAGAAAAGTGAGCATGAACCGTGCTTGGATGAGGTTGGTAAACAGGCTGATCTTTCAAGTTGCTTTTAAGAAATTTGTGATCAAGATATTTTAGGCAGGCTTTCGCTCCTATAGGTTAGGACAACACGGATGTGAATTAGTTAGCTGATGAATAAAAGATAGCCTTTCCTTTGCTAATTGGTTCTACTCATCTTTAGCTGTTTTTATGAAGCTAGAGAATGATGTTGTTTGTTATGTGTGATTCTGTTTTTTTTTTTTTTTATATACAAAAAGTTCAAGAGATTTTACAGAAGAGGCAGGAACATGAGAACTGGAGAGACAGAGTCAGTGACACAGCTCAACCTGAGCTCGAGCCCGGATGCTGAGTGCACCCGTGAACAGGAAGCTGCTCGTTGCGCACACACAGCTCGTGTGAGGTTGAGACAGTGGCATCTTTGCCTCAAGCGTGGCACTAGGCAGGAATGGAGTAGATTTGGGGCTGTGCATCTGGGCAGGGCTATGGTCTGCCTGGTGGGGAGTTGGTGAGAACTGACCACAGGGACCCCAGAAGCAGGCACCTGATTGGTCAGTTGGTCAAGTTCTATGCCCAGCAGACGCAGCGCGTGTAGAGTACTAGCCCAGCTGGTTGGCTGATTTCTAGAGGTGCGAGGCTGCCTTGGCCAGAAAGACTTCCTGTCCTTCTCATGATCAGTCCTGGACTGTGCAGCCCCTCGCGTACAGGGATAGCACCCTTTACAGGAACAACAGAACATCGGACTACCTACTCATTTCCTTTTCAAAATCAAAGCGTATGGTACCTCAGTTCACAAACTCAGTTCTGTCCATGATTCGGGTCCCCAGCTGAACCGTGCAAGAACCAAATCAAATTTCTCCATAAGCTCAAGATGAAACCTAGCCATTGAATTTGATTCGGTTCTCGTGCAACTCGTTTTGCAACCAGAATTGTGGGAAGAATCAAGTTCGTGAACCGAGGTACCACTGTACCTAAGCTACGGAAAACATTTCAGTTTAAATGACTGTTCCTTGCGGTAAAGGTAGTTGAAGTCAAGAAGACATTATAAATGGAATGCTTAAACTTTAATATGGCATAGGGCAATTAATTTTCATTGAAGATGCACTGTTGGTGGAAATTATTAGTCTTTTAAATTGTCTTTTTATAGTGTAATTTAATTAATAATGAAATATGTAATTCTTTCCTTAGCATACATCTGTGGATGAGTATACTGAGCCCCACATCCCGCCTACCAAGTCAAGCAGCAGACAGAACATCCCCCGGTGCAGAAACTCCATTACGTCGGCAACAGATGAGCAGCCTCACATTGGAAATTACCGCTTACAGAAAACGATAGGGAAGGGGAATTTTGCCAAGGTGAAATTGGCAAGACATGTGCTAACTGGCAGAGAGGTAAGTTTCCATGGTCCCTCCCGCCTGGGCCTCTGCACGTCTTGTGAGGAGGTGTTTTTTTATAGTAGATGGTGGGGAGTAAGCAACAGGTGCGGCACAGACCGCGCTGGGACGTGAGTGACTGCAGCGCCCAGGAGGGTCTATTTCATGGCATTCAAGTTGGCCTTTTCCATTTAGGAGGGGATCGTCTGGACATACTAGTGTCCCTTAAACATGAGCTTTCCCCAGGCTTCTGTGTTACTGTTTGGTTTCTGTGAACATTTCTTCTCACCTTGTTACTCTCTCAAGAACAAGTTTAGGATAAGTCCTTGTTTATTAATGAATAAGGTAAATTATATACAGAAAGGCAGAAAAACCACAATTTTTAATCTATTTAGCAACACATTGCTATACAGGTAGTTTCCTCAGGTGGTACGAGAACTGGATTCTAAAATCCTATGTGTTTTAAATAATCCATATTTATATGGTAAAAATGTGCATAATTGCATTTACATGCACAGTGGAACCTCAGTTCACATTTGTCTGTGAACAGTTAGATTCACAAACAGAAGCATCTTGCCGAGTTGGTTTTTGTTCGTGAACTCCGCAGGGGATGACGAGCATGACCGCAGCCGTCCTTCCCACACAAACAGGAATTTGGCCCTCTTTTCTGGAATCATGGAGTGGTTTAAGCTCTTCAACCGGGGTGCCACTAAACATGCGTTGTATATTCATGTCCATAGGTTGGAGCTAAAGATTTTATTTAGATAAATACTCCGTGTTTTGCATTATTTAATATTTACTGGACCTGATTAGGATATTATTTTTAAAATCGCAACCATAAAATGCTTTTTTACTAAGTATTCTCTTTGCTGTCTACATAATGTTATTTTCATCTCTGGTTGATTTCGTCCCTTCTGTCCATTCTGACTTTAGGAGCTGTTCAGACACAGCTACCCTAGGCAGAACCTTTGACGATGTACTCCATTCATCAGTTTGCAGTAAGGAAGCTTGGGTATCCAGCTGCTCTCCCCATGTAGTCATTGGTTTATTAATATAATTTTTAAGTAATTGAATGTTTGTAAGCCGCTCTCCCCTATGTTTGTTACTTATCAAGATCATGAGTAAAGAAATTAAATTACAGGGTGATTTTTATATTATAAAGGGAAAGGCTTTTTTTCATTGGGGATCAAATAGGTTGAGGATAGGCCAATGGACTCTACTCCAAGGCTGCCAGATTATCAAAACTTTATCATCCAATTATGTAAATGCTCACTTAGGATTAAATTGAATGTAATTAGGAATGAAACAAAAGATTTTTCTTTCTAAGTTTTTATTCGTTGAAATATATAGCCTCAAATATAGTTTAATGATTCTGTTTTTTAGGTTGCCGTGAAAATAATAGACAAAACTCAGCTAAATCCTACCAGTCTACAAAAGGTATTTGATTAATTTCATAAGTAATTAGAATGTATTTATTATTAATATGTAATTTTATAGTAAATCAATCATATGAAACTTTTCCATAGGTATAGTAATGCATTTCATCAGTATATGGATTTAGGCATGATATGAAACACAGTGTTTATGACTCATCAGATAGTTGCTTGAAAAATATCTATTGTGGGTTGATTTTCTCTTACCTGAAATGCTTGGGAGCAGAAGTGTTTCAGATTTCAGAGGTTATTTTAGAGTTTAGAACATTTGCGTAGACTTTATTGGAATGTATGCACCATACGAAAGGAGTTTGTCTTTTTTAATTAAGCAGAATAAATCTTTGTGTCAAATATTTTGAAGTAGTCAGGATTCTTCTTAGTGAAAAATCGAGTTTTGAATGAATACTATCTGTAGGTGGGTTTTCTTTCATTGCTTCTCTTGGCTTCTGTTCCTTCATAAGAGTTCATCTGTTGATAATTCACTGTAAAAGTCAAGAATGTTTCTTCCAAGAGCAGAAATATAAAACAGCAGAAAAGGAAGTTAGACTTGGATGTCACAGGAAACAGAAGCTTTCTACTTCATTAATTGTTTCAATGGGAAAATGTTCTCAGGTCCACATTTTAGTACCTTAAAAATGAAGCAAGTATTTTAGTGTTTAGGCCATATATGCTAAGTTTGTATATGGTGAGATATACATTAGGATTTTAAAGAATAAAATAGGATCAGAGTCACATATGTAAATGTGACATAAAGGACCAGATTTCTAAACTGAGAGATCTCATAAGAAAATTTTAGTATGGTGTGTTTAACTACATCTGCCATAATTCTAACATTAGATTAAAAATTTGGGTTGGTGATATCAAAACTTTTTTTTACTTGGCTCAGTGCTGGGTAACTCGGTGTATTTTTGTACATTTCTCTTTAGAGATCTTTGTATTTTCTTGAGATTTTTTTTTTTAATTTGACAACCAACATAACTTTTCCTGGCCCTGGTATTTCTGCTCGGTGCGAACATGGAAGGTTTGTTGGATTCTTCTTTTCTGTGAATGTGAGATAACATATTATGGTCTCTTCCAGAGAAAGGCTGGTCTAGGGCCAGTCTTTCAGCTAACTGGGGTACATTTGTGTGAGTAACAAAAAGCCCTCCTCCCCAAACTGCAGAATTAGTCAAAGAGGCCTTTAAAAAAAAAACTGCGCTGAAGCCACCATGGGATAGAATTTTACCCTCCTGCCTGCCGTGAGCCCTTGTGAAAGGCACAATCTGCCTGACTGTACCCGGCTCTGCCCTTGACCCACCTTGGCTTGGTACTTTCCTGGGTTAGGCCACACGGCACATCACTTGGGTAGACAGTGACTTTGAGCAACGTTTAGAATTTCTCACTGGGATCCCAGGAGTGTGACCCCAACCATGTCTCTCACAAGAGGCCAACAGAAGATCGTGTAACCACAGTTTTGCTTCTTGAAAGATGAGAACATGACACCGAGTGTTGCTTTGTTTATCTTAATCGCTAAAACATTTGCCTGTGGATGGTAAATAATTTCTGTTAAAGATGTTGCTAATCTTCGCAGACAAAGTGTGACTTCCAGACAGGCATATAAAGAATGGTGCTCTAACCTGTGACTATAAAAGCAAAGGGAAGCTTGAGTTTCAGTAAATGTAGCCAGTACACTGTGTATGTGGTGTTGTTTTAAAAATAATTTATATTTATGTTCATAGATGTGCTCTCTGTTAAAAGTTTTTTAGGGGAAAAATAGACCAAGGCTTGATGAGTTATTGTGGTAGAACGTTTGACATTCAGGCTTTCGCCTCTGCTCAGGAGAGTCCCAGTCAGTCCTTCTGTTCTCCGTAAAGAGTGGAACAAAGTGAAATCCACATGTTTTTCTAAGCATTGTCAGTTAAGTCTCACAGATTAAAATAGTAAAATATGCCTCAAGTAAAGACAGACGATGATGGGAGATTAAGGGTTCATTTTTATCTCCCTTCAGAAGTTTTGGGTTAAATTTTATTCTGGGTTGATATGTTTAAACTGACCCCACTCTTACTGTCTGTGTATAATAATATAGGAAATACTGCCCTCCTGTACCAACGTCAGTGATAGGTAAAAGAATCTAAATTTGAGATACCAACTGTTTAAAACCACGGAGATGTAAAATTCTTAAAATTCTTAGTTTTGTCTTTGGCATCGCTAAGAATCTTCAACATTATTCTATTCACATAATATGCTCATATATCCATACCACGTATTTTAAATATATAGAATCCAATTGGATGAGTTTTCTTTTTTCCCACTTGGATGCTGTATTTTTTCCTCAATTTTTATCTTTTATTGGAACAAGTTCGCAGTGCATAATGACTGCATTCCCTGTGTGGAGTGCATAGCATGTGCGTAGCACATCTTTCTTTATTTCCCCTCCCCTCCTTTACCCCCTGCAGCTCTCGGTCCCCCTCCCGCTTGAGAAAGATCTGTCTCCCTCCTTCCTGCTTTGCTCTTTATTTATACTTTGGGTTTCTCATATAAAAGAAACCATGTGATATTTAAACTTGTGTGTCTGATTTATTTCACTTTACATTATGGTCTCAGGGTGCATCATTTTCCTGCTAATGACTCAAATTCATTCTTCTTTATGGCAGAGTACTACTCCATTCTATATGAATACATTTTCCTTACCCATTCATTTGTTGATGGACATGCAGGCTGCTTCCCAGATTTAGCTATTGTCAGTTGTGCTGCTGTGACCATGGGTGTGCATGGAGCGCTGTAACGTGATGTCTTTGTTTCAGGAAGATGCCTGGCAGCTGGGTTGAATGGAATGTCTAGTTTTAGTTTTTGGAGAACTATCCAAAATGGTTTCCTTGAGGGTTATACCAGTCTGTACTCCCGCCAGCAGTGAGACAGGTTGCTCAGCGGTGTTGGAGATGGATGCTGTGTTTCCTTGTTCCTTGAAACCTGAGCCCCAGCTCAGATGTTCGTGGCTTTTAGGGAACAGTCCCTGACCTGGCCAAGTCATCCCTGCGGATCTTTTAAGCAAGCTGTGACCTTGAGGGAAAAGAAAAACAACTGCACGGTTTTCTCATAGCTTGTAACTTGCAAGCTTGAGATCCGTTATTTTCTCTGAAATTCTGCTCCCTTTGAACATGGACAGAGTTGCTTCTGCACAGCCAGCGGCTTTATGAGTCTCGGCGTCATCAGTAGCCGCTCAACTCTGGGGACGCTGAGTCCCTGCGCATCCAGCCCTGTGTTTGCGTTTTTAGCATTTCCTGTGCTGCCTTCGCTCCCAGTTCGCACAATGATGCCGCAGCCCAGGAGCGATTCTCTGAGTGGTGCAGCGAGTAATAAGACACAAACGAGACGCCTACAGCTCAGGGTGGCGTTGCTACGGGACATTGGGCATGTGAATCTGTGTTAGATGTGATCTGGCAGAAGCAGGGGTGTAAACACTTTGAACAACTGACCTCTGCAAATTAGATTTTAGTGAACAACTAATCCACTTACTGCTAGTGTCAGTGCCCCAAACCATCTAAACTTCTGTGTTTTCAGATAATGTCCAGAGACTCTCTGGTAAAGTAATTATGCTAGACAGAATATCTACAGAATAATCTCTGTCATGTTGAAAAATATGATCATTTAAGCTAGAGAGCAGCGTGCAATCACAGAAGCCATAGGCGGAATTCAGCATCTCTTAGCAAATACCCCACCTCGTGTATGGAAAACCAGTCACAAAGTCTCTGGCAAGTACTTTCATCAAGGAGAGAACGCAGGCAGCTCTTGGCAATACTGCTGAACGGGCTTGTGTGTTGGATATATGCTGTGGTATCTGTTCCTTCAGGATGCATGCTTCATAGCACATTTGACTTCATGGCTGAGTTGAGCTACTTATGTGCCAAGTATTTCTTCCGTACAGTTCTTGTCACACGTGTGGACTATTTGAAGGAAAAGTTGTGTCCACTCTTACGCAGGTCAATGAAAACCCAAGTGATGAAAGGATTAGTATTTTGTCAGCAGTGATGAAATGCCTGTAGAGTTTTGTTGTTGTTTTTCTTTCATTCACCCTTCCTTCCTCCCTCATTTACTTGTCTATTTGTCTGTTATTGGTATTTTCCAATAATACTGCCACACAAATAAATGGTACCCAATGCCTAGACCCTCACTGCTTTCTTCTCCATGAAATTCAATTCATGGTCAACAGTAAGCCTCTGGTCTTGGTTTGGTTTTGAATAAAATGCTTTCTAGAATTGTCTGCATTTATCTTGCTTCCATCCTGACCGCTGGGCAGTGCTACTGTTGTCTCTCCCCTGGACATCCCAGTTGCCCTCTGACTAGTTTTCTGTGTCTACTTCGCACCCTTCCCAGCGTGCACGCGTTCACACACACAGTTTAACAAGCCACCAAGGATGCAAGATGTATAATACATATGCCATCCCTTTCTTTAAACTTTTAGGAGGCATGCAACCATGGTGGTCTAAAAAAATCACCTCAGAGTCACACTTTTGGAGAAACCATTCCTATCCTCTCGAACAGTGTGAAATCCTCTTGCTCTCTCTAAAGTCAAGCACTCATAATCTAGGATCTATAAATCATCATGGTAGTTTCTGCTTCAGTTTTGTTTTGTCAGTAGTTGTTTTCTGTTTGCTTTTGATGTTTTGTGTTTTGTTTTGATGCCAGTATTGCACCTCCAAGCCTTAAAACCTGTCTTGTACACACTTGGCTTTCATTAGCTGTAAGACGTACACCCATGTCCACATTCTGATAGAAGTTCTCAGGGTTACCATGGAAAAATTTTCTCTTGAGGGAAGTGGAAGAGGCTAGGAATATTTAAGTCACCTGTGAATTTTCGACTGACCATCTGGCTGTTTCACAAGGCATGATCTCACTTGGTTATTTTGAAAATCCTACTTGTGTTTTTTTCCAAATTGCATTTTGTTGATATACTGAAGCAGCCTATTTTTACTGTTTGGATGGAGATTCAAAATGTCTTTTTCATTTAAAAAATGGCTTTCTCAT